AAAACCATCTTTAGAGGTCCTAGCACGTCATTTCTCGACCCGCTCTTTCGTTTGAGCCCAAGAAAAACATTCATATCTTATCTGACATCGCTGCTACAAACTCGGGTCATCAACTCTGGTTTTCAGTTGATCGAAAAACAGTCTTCGAAAACTGATAATTCAAAAGCGCATCTTGAGTTCAATTTTTGTTGAATAATCTCTCAATTCAAACGAGATATCAAAATTTTTACGACTTTTTTCGTAGAGGAAAAAAGAGCTACAGATCGGGTTCTTAGAAGAAGTTGTTCATCTCCTTTAGATTTTTGGAGACATTCGTGATAAACTAAACGCCAAAATGGCTGGTAAAATGTTAAAACCAAATGATTCGTTTCCTTTTCATTTAGTTTTCTGAAAATATCCACGAGATCCAGATGAATATCGACATTCCTTTGTAGAAAAATGAAGTTCCAATGAAAATTTATCTAATTCCCTCAGATTCGAAGGCATTCACTGAAAATTGATCTCTTAAAATTACTAATTGACTTGAGTTTTTGTCGAATAATCTCCAAATTCCAGTGAAATGTTAAAATTCTCATAAGAACATTTTTACAGAGGCAAGAAGGAGCTACAGAACAGGCTCTTAAAAAATTCCCCTTAGAATCCAAGATATTGATCGAAAACTGAACGTAAAATGACTAGTACAATGTTAAATCAAAATGAGTTTATCTTCTTTCAAACTTAGTATTTTAAATGTCCCGAAATATTTATAAAGAGAAAAATGCGCTACGAAAGAGATCCGTATGGAAATTTGTTTACTTCCCCCAGATTCCCCAAGATTTTTTCAAATTATTGTGCAAGATTCATTGGATTATCAGAACCAGAACTAATTCTCATTCCTCAATAATAAAGAAAATCCCCCTTGAGGAGTAAAAAAAGTCATTGAAACAAATTCCCAATCCCTGCAGCATTTACCTAGTCCCATCCAAATTGTGTTTTCCCCTTAGATTCAAAAACATCATTGGAGAATTCAGCAGTGAAGTGGTCAATCGCTTCAAGTCAACTTAGCTCCCAGTTCAATTTTTGTTGAATAACTCGGAATTTAAGAAAGATAGCGAAATTTTTGTAAGATCTTTTTCGATAGTCTTCACTCTTCTTTACAAAAAAGATTTCTAGGAAAATTTTGCCAACTCGTTTAGAAATTGAGATATTCATCGTCAACTGGGGCTAGAATGGAATTGACTTAAACCGGCTGACTTCACTACTGAATTGACTACTTCACTACTTTTAAAATTACAACTTGACTCAAGTTCTTATTAAATAATCCTCCAATTCCAGCGAGGTATCAACAACTTTCAGATCAACATTTTTTATAGAGAAAAAAAGGAGCTATAGCGTTAATCCTTATAAAATCTCCCGTGGAATCCAAGACCTTTTTTCTTATCAATAGAATCAGCGCAAAAACCAAATAGAATTTTTCAATAGAATTTCAACAGAATTTCCTCGCGAATTCGCTGGGGTTTTTAATTGCATTTTTTCACGCGTTGTCAAAAAAGGCTCAAACCATTGGCAGCCTCGAACCCCAATCCCCACAACAACCCAGCCCCATCAAGCCTGATCATCCCACGTCTGAGTGACCAGTCCATCTCTCACTGGCACCACAAGTTCCCTGACAGACGTACATTTGCGATATCTATCTGGCATCAACCGGGGCTCTGAAATTAGACAGCTGGAGGAGGCCAGCGGCCATCTTGCCAGTGATACATGGTCACTTGGACCATGCACTTGGTCATCTCCAAAGTCCCCAACCCCTGTCCCCAGGGATGGGCATCGGTCGATAACCGCAGTTTTTTTCATGACATTGTAAAAACCCGTAATTTACGTACACGGAGACAAATTTTTTAGAAAAATTCTTGTGCTACCACGGGAAAAGAGCCGCAAAGTGACTGCCAGGAAAAAATTCCAGTGTCGGCACCAGGAATTTTATTGGGGAAAACGTGAATTTTTCCCAGTATTTCTGTGAAAATTTCACAGAAATCCCCGGAAATTTTACCAGAAATACCAAGAAATTTCACCTTAACAGCACTAGAATTTTTCACAGCCGGTGGATTGTAATTTTTTCCAGTCCTCGTACTAGAATTTTTCTAGAAAATTTCTCTCCGTGTAATGAATGTAAAAAATGTAAAAGACCAGCCGATGTTACACTTTATCGTAAGCCGTGAAGCTCCGCGAAGATTAAGGGAGAGTGGGGTAAAATGGACACTTTAGACTTTTGAATTAATTACTCATAACTCAGAAGCAAATTTATCAGTTGAGCTCAGTTTAGGCTCATCGCAAAGGGAAAGAATTGCTCTTTGAAACGAAAAAAAAAATGATTACATTTTATCAACATTTCAACCTGTGATTAACATTTTTAAAAAAGTTAAAAGTGTCCATTTTACCCCAACCCCCCCCCCTATACCTCGCGGGGGTGATAAGTCACGAGGTTCGGGATCATGTATCGAGGGTCACACCTCGTAAGGGTCATACCGTGTAAGGAATGAATTTTGCAAGGGTCAATCAATCCCATTATTTATTTAAATTTGAAAAAAATCTCATTATTTATCGATCTCTATTGAATTCGTCGCGTCATCATCTCTTGTCTTGACATTAACTTGCTTCATTCAACATTCTTAAATGACAAAACCAGTTCAATTGTCTTTGGTAGCTTTTTTGAACTCTTCAAAACAAAACGGTTCTTTCAGGTCCAACTGGGCTTTTTCGGGGTTCCAAATAATAAAGTGAAGAATCTAATAAAATTCAATAGATAATGAGATGACAATGAGAGACTTTCTCACAATGAAGATGACTTGTGACTTGATCTTTCCCTCGTAAAATTGAGTCGCCAGGATCATACGTCTCAAGAGCCATCCGTGTAAGGGATGAATTGTACAAGGGTCAATCTCATTATTTATTAATCTCTATGGAATTCGTTGCGTCATCATCTTTTGTCTTGATATTAACTGATTTCATTCAGCATTCTTAAATGACAAAACTAATTTAATTGTCTTTGATGGCTTTTTTGAACTCTTCAAACCAAAATGGTTCTTTTCGGGTCCAAAAACGGTGTAATTTACCAAAGTAATTTACACGCCCAATCCTGCGGGTAAGGGATGAATTTTACAAGAGTCAATCTCATTATTTCTTCATCTCTATTGAATTCGTTGGGCCATTATCTTTTGTCTTGACATTAACTGGTTTCATTCAGCATTCTTAAAAGACAAAACCAATTCAATTTTCTTTGGTGGCTTTTTTGAACTCTTCGAAACAAAATGGTTCTTTTCAGGTCCAACTGGGCTTTTTCGGGGCTCCAAATAATAAAGTGGAGAATCTAATAAAGTTCAATAGATAATGAGATTGACTTTCTCACAATGAAGATAACTTCGACTTGATCTTTAATATAAAAAATGTAAAAAACCCGTCGAGGTATTAAGTGTGGTAATTAATATTTGAGAGTTCTTAGACTGCATTTCTCCAAAGGATATTTAATTTTTTCATCCTAAAACCCATCTGTTGCCAGGAACAATACGTTGATTAAACCCAAATTTACTTTTTAGTCAAGAACAACAGCTCTGTTCACTAAAACAATCTTTAAAATTAGTTAGGGGAGGTTGGGGTAAAACGGGCACTTTTGACTTTTTTAAAATGTTAATGAGGGATTGAAATGTTGATAAACTTTAATAATTTTTTTTTTCAATACAAAGAACAATTCTTTCCCTTTGTGACGAGCCTAAACTGAGTTCAATTGATCAATTTGTTTCTGAGTTATGAATAATTTTAAAAAAGTCTAAAGTGTAAATTACGTCAGTAAAAAACGGTGTAATTTCCCAAAGCAATTTTCACGCCCAACCCTGCCTGTCCCAACGAATTTCTCCAAAGGATATTTGATTTTTCCCCCCTCAAATCCATCTGTTGCCAGAAACGATACATTGACTAAACTCAAATTTACTTTTTAGTCAAGAACAACAGCTCTGTTCACTAAAACAATCTTTAAAATTAGTCAGGGGAGATTGGGGTAAAACGGACACTTTTGACTTAAAAAAAAATATTAATAAGGAGTTGAAATGTTGATAAACTTTAATAATTTTTTATTTCAATATAAAGAACAATTCTCTCCCTTTGTGACGAGCCTAAACTGAGTTCAATTGATCAATTTGTTTCTGAGTTATGAATAATTAAAAGAAAGTCTAAAGTGTCCGTTTTACCCCAGCCTCCCCTGCCACATCTAATAATTTACGTAAATTACGTCGGTAAAAAACGGTGTAATTTCCAAAGTAATTTACATGCTCAACCCTGCCTGTCCCAGCCCCCTCCACCCAAAACCCTCGAAAAACCCCTGGAAAACCCTCTGATCACCTGATGCAGTGCCGTGAGCCCATCGACATTTCCAGTATTGATGTCAGCACCCTTCTGGAGCAGCCTAACCACCTCCTCCTTATCACCAGCAGCACAGGCAGCCAAGAAGACACAGTCGGCCGAGAACTTGATCTTACGTGCTATTTGTTTCGGTTGGGCCGGCTGACTGTTGGTCTCCGACAATTCCCAACGTTTGAGCTGTTCGGCCCGCTTGAAGAGGGCCGAGCTGGAACGTGTCTCCAGTGACATGTCCTCTACCTTCACCAAAATAATCACCAGCGAATTTATCACTCACTCACTCACTCACTGAATTGAAATATCCAAAGCCTGATCACAATTTCACGAATTGCACTGGGAAAACATTTCCAAATTGTAACTTGAGCCTCGTAAAAGTGCAATTCCACCAGGTGATGCCCTCGCTGACGAGTGCCTCGAGGTGATGATGATGACTTCGATCACTCTGAGGTTTTCCAGTGGTCCGTGAATTTTTAGTTCATCAGAATGAGTGGGAGGGGCATCCGCCGTAAACTCCAGTCTCTCGATATTCACTTGGATAGTTTCACGATTGTCGAACGAATGAAATCGTTAACAATTGTCCTCACTTTTTCGGGGGTTTTGAGTTAATTGGGCTTTTGTTCCAGGTACTGAGGGGCAATTATCGAACTCTTGGGTGGGATTATCACTTTTTTTTTTTCGTGGAAAGTGGGCACCGCTGGGCAGTCGATGGCACTCTGATTCTCTCGTCGGCTCTTCTGCCCGTCGGCACAACCCCTCCCCCTTTTACAACGTTTTGCACTTTGTTTTAGTCTATTTTTCCTAGACCGTTTTTCTTTTGGGGCTCGATGGGCTATTCTTGGGCTCTAAAAGTTTTCCCCACTTTTGGCCCCCCTCGGCCGTACAATCCGCGTAAAAATCCCCTCGCCCCGCTCCGGGACACGGCACTTTGGTGAGGATTTAGTGGGAGAGTCGATGATGGGACGATATGGGGCGGCCGGGGGAATCGGCTAGAGGGGACTTCCTCGGGATTTTACGCGGTTTTCACGCATTGTTTGACGGGTTTTTCGGGGATTGAGGGGTTTTTGTGGGGTTCTTGAGGGTTTGTGGGTACCGTAAGTTCACATGAGAGGACTGAACTAATGGAGTATGGCGGAGGAGAGCTCCAGCGGCGCCATTGGCTGCGCCATTTTGGGATTTCTTGTAGGGTGCTGCCGCCGTTGGGCCACGAGTTTTCTCGCGGGTTCGGGGGGATTTTCGATTTTTGATGGGGGTGAAATGGAATTATTGGGGAAATTTCCGGGATTTCAGATGAATTGTTATTGATTGAGGTCATTAGACACTGTCATGAGCGTCGGTTGGATGATTTTTTGTTTTCTTGGAGAAATGAAACTGATTTTTATCACTTGTGCGTAAAGTGATTTTTTACGCACGCTCCGCATGCGCAGAATCCTGCTTTTCCACGCATTGTGATGAACAATGGGATTCGACATTTGTGGGAAAAGTGTTCTTCGCACTTTTCCGGCCGTGTGATGAAAAATATTTTTTCGGATAAAATTTCGGAAAAATATTTTTTCGCAGCGGATTATTTTCGGAGTTGGTTAGGCGGCATGCTGTTCCCGGTAGCTTGGTTGGAAGAGTGCCCAGCGCGTAACTGTGAGACCCGGGTTCGAATCCCGGCTGGGCGGATCGGGATTTTTTCCCTCTAAATTTTAATTCTATTTGAATTTTTTTTTCTCCTCTAGATTCCAAGAAATCCTCCAAAATAATAGAAAGTTTGCAATTCAGTGAATATCTCCGAATCTAAAAGAGCTATCAAAAATCACATGAAGACCTTTTCTCTTCATCTCGCTCTGTTCTACAAAAAAGGTCTTGACAAAATTTCTACTATCTTCTCTAGATTTCGAGAAATCCTCCAAAGCCAATTCGCAATCGCAACGTAGATGTGGGAGCCATCAGTGGTCTCTAAACTAACTGTTGCTGGGGGTCAACCAATGAGATCAAGGGGAACCAAGTGGTCTCATTGGTTGACCCCTATCATTGGTTCGCTCCCAGTGATTTCATTGGTCAGCCCCCAAGAGTAGTTAGTTTGGACCCATTTGGTGGCTCTCACATCTATATCGCGAATTACCTCCCAAAAATTCCCCCATTAGGGACTTTTTCCGTGGGTCAACACTGGCCCGCACACTCCGTAAAAATATCCCCAACCGCGCATTGCGAACTCCCCCCAAGATTCACCCACCAACGCGACGCATTATGTGTGTGTCAGTGTGCCTCTGTGTTTTAACGGAAAAGAATCCAAAAAATCCGCAAAAAATTACAAAGAAGTCTGTTCCAACCCCACAAACTTTCCATTGTTAACCCAAAAATCCGAAATAATCGAAACCCCTTATTGATTCGGACCACAACCTGGTGATCAAAGATCGGGCGAAAAAAATAGCGTCCCAATCAAAAACGGATGAGCGCGTGCTGGGCCGAGTGTTGCCGAGTGCTCGCGTAGAAAAAGTTTTTGTCTCAAGCGAAAAAAAGAAAAGTTGCAAGTGGTGACTAAATTTCTCTCGGTCCGTGCATTCAAACCCCCAAAAACATTAATTTCCCCCCTTTAGGCCTTCAATCACCGAGAAAAAAGGAAGAATCCAGGGTTTTTCGTGGATTTCGCGATGTTGCGTTGAGGCGTTGGACCATTTGTTTGACGAGAAATCAACAATTATTAAAATATATTGATCCCGATGTTGGTCGTAGAGTTGTGCAAATGTAGTTTTCATGCTTATGAAGAGGAGAGAATACCGGGAGGCAAGTCGTGGATACCGAAGAAAGCTTCAAATCCGTTTGAAGCTTTCGAGGTCGGATTCATGGAACTATGAACCTGGACTCGTTATCTTTTACTTTGTCACAAATAAGTTATTTGGTTGCTAATTTGAATAAGAAAAATTATCGTGGCAGTGCCGAGGAGATAACATTCGTGAGTACACATGATTTTTGTTAATTAATTTTGTGTTAATTTAACAATTGAGATTAATGGAATGGGGAGGGGTACAATGGGCGACGTTCAATTGTCAATAACTCGAGATTGGCAGAGTGAAATTGAAAAACTTTCCTCTCATTTCAAAGGATTTTTTTAGTCTTCAAAATGAGCTCTGACTCGCCCGAATCGCATCGTTTGATCAAGAGATATTGATGATTGAAGATTCATTCTACCTCGCCTTCTCCCAAAAAGAACCATTTTCAATCGGCAATAACTAGATATCGACAGAGTGAAATTCAAAAAATTTTCTTTCGTTTTGAAGGATTTTTATCAGAGTTCAAAATGAGCCTCGATTCGTGGAAATCGGATCGTTCAGTCAGAAGATATTGACGATTCAACATATTGAGGCTCATTTTATCTCATTCTTCTCTATCTGCGGAATTGAATGGTTGGGAGACCTTGATGGAATTTCATCAACCGAAAATCATGTTTTTGATTCCAGTTGGTACGTTGGAAAGGTCTTGAGGCGAACAGACACTTGCTGCGCTGTTTGTTCTCTTACGTTGACTTTTCAACGGGCGAACCTCCTAGCACGAGCTCCAAGGATTATTACCAAGTGCACCTTCTCAGGCAGGAGTGCAACAATCTGCTGGGGAAACCACTGCTCATATCTAACCTCACTTACGCTATTGATCATCCGCTGCATCAGCAGAAGGTAGTTTCGTCATTGTTTGTTTTTGTCTGTTTGTTTGGGAAAAGAAAGGAATTTTTATGTTTTGTTTTCTTCGAGGAAATGATTTAGGGGTTTTAAACAATGAAACTTGCATTATGTCTGGGGATTAAAATTTAATGTTGGGAATATTGAATTATCCTGAACGAGGGAATTTTAGGGAATATCTCAACAGGTGTTTTTTTCTGGAGAATTTTATTGGCTATCAGGAAGGTCTGTTTACATTTTGATCTGGTTTGACTACATTTCAATAATAAACATTTATTATTGTGAAGAATTTTGGATTTGTCTCAAGAAAGAGTAATGCCGAAGGGAAAATGCTGAGAGACTTTCTTCAGTTAAAGACATTTACAAAAAATGTCTCTTAACATTTGGGAAACGAAAGGAATTTTCATTTTTAGTTATTTTTTTAATTTTTTAAATGTATTTTTTTTAAAATGATTTAGGATATCTGGCGATTAAAATTTTTTTCTGGAGAATTTTATTGGCTACAAGGACGGTCTCTTAACATTTTGTTCTGAATTGACTACATTTCAATAAGAACAATTTAATATTGTTATCAATTTTGGATTTATCTCAAGAAAAGAGTGATGTTTGAAAGAAAATGTTGAGAGACTTTCTTCAGCTAAAGACACTGACATTTTTTCATTTTTTTGAGGAAATGAAAAACAATTTTCTCGCAATGACTTGCCTATCAGTAATGTTTTATCCACACACATCACGATTAATGGAAATTCACTATTCAATGCTCTTTTTTCTCTATAATAAATAAAATAAATAATGGAACATGAAAGGAACATAAAATGTCGATAAAATTCAGTAGCGAAGTGGTAAAGCGATTTAACTTTTCAGAAATATCTCCTAATCTAAGGAAGATATCGAAATTTTCATAATAACTGTTTTTGTAGCTCTCAATGAGTCCAACAAAAAAGCTTATAACAAAAATTAAGCTATCTGCCTTAGATTCCTCGATATTTACTGAAAACTGCCAATAGTCAAAATCGACTCCAACCGTTTTACCGCTTCGCTACTAAATCAGCGCTAGGATCATTCTTCGAAGAAAAAAAAAATGCAAGGAAAAAACGCTACTAGGAAAAACTGGGGGGGGGGGGAATATCGGGAAAGACTTCCCGAGGAAAACCCAAACAACTCCAACTCCGGAGAATCCTCTAAAATTGTTTTCAGACGCTCACACCATCGCCAAAGTTTTTTCCCCACCTCCGCCGAGTGCTGAACCTCACTCTCGTCCAGGAAGTGGTGTTCGCCCTAACCCTCCGTCACTCGTCGTCCTCGGAGCTCCGTCAGCTCGCCCTCGAGGACCTCCGCAAGCAGCTCCCCGAGCTGATAAAAAACTACACAAACTCGGAGAACCCAAGCAAGCAGCAGGAAGAGGGTCTCCACGACTCGTCCCCCGAGGTCCTCCACCTGATCCTCTCCCAGACCCTCGACCCCAAGAGCTCCCTGAACCTCTCCCCCGACTCCCTCGAGAAATTCCTGAAAAACTTACGTCGTGATTTTCCCCGCGAGCTCGTCCCAGTGGTGCTTGCACCACTCATCTACCCAAACGAGGGTGAAACCCCCCAGATCCACAACAACTTCGTAATGGCAGGTAGCCAGATGGACAATAGTTCCCTGGTAGAGCTGATAATGGAGTTGGGCTATGGCTTCACAGCGAGTGTTGACGAGTGTCGAGGAGCCCTGGCGAACCTGGGGGCAAGAGAGATCTCCCCATTGGCAGCAGCAAGAGTGCTAGCGCACATGGCACGCACCTGCACTGGTCTCGACGATGCTGGAGGTCTGCAGGCCTTCTGGGGCAACACCCCAGGCAGCGCAGAGTCCAGCAAGGACAAGTCCTCAGACGGCAGCAGCCCCACCACCTGGAACATCGAGGTCTTCATCCAAACCCTGAAGGACATCCAGTCGACCCTCTCGTGGAACGAAGTGATCGTCAAGCTGGACCACGTTGAGTTCCACATAAAAGATCGACAGGGCCTCAATCTCCTGATCACAGGTCTTCGTCTTGGTCTGCAGCACCAGGGTTACCCCCTAGACATGTTCCCAGTGGAGCTGTTCTACCGACACTGGGACAACGTGGAGGCGCAGTTCTCCCTGATCCAGCAGATCCTGAAGAATCCAGACATATTCTGCTTCGCTGATTACCCCTATCACTCTGTGACTGTCGACGTTCTGAAGTCAGCACCAGAGGGGGACAGCAAGGAGGCGCAAACCTGGAGGTCCCTCAACGTCGTTGAACTCCTCCTGCACATGGCTGAGAGGGGCCTCTACGGCCCTGTGCAGGAGATCTTCAAATGGCCAATCCAGAATTGTCCTGATGTCCTCGTTCTCGCTCTACTGCAGATCAATCCACCCCTGACGATTCTCAGGCAAGAGCTGCTGGGCACACTGATGCCAATCTTCCTGGGGAATCACCCCAACTCAGCAGTCATTCTCCATCACGCCTGGCACGTCAACAACACCAAGATCAAGACTATAATCATGCACTCGATGGCTGAGTGGTACTTCAGGGGGGATCACGACCAGACGAGGTTGTCGAGGATTCTGGATGTGGCGCAGGACTTGAAAGCCTTGTCGACACTTCTCAATGCCCAGACATTTTCATTCGTCATCGATCTCGCGTGTCTGGCGTCACGACGGGAATACCTGAAGCTTGAGAAGTGGTTGACTGATAAAATCCGTGATCATGGCGAGTGTTTTGTGGCTGCGACTGTCAAGTTCCTGCAGAGGAGGTGCCCCCAGGTGATGGGGGCTAGTATGAAGGAGGACTCGAGCCTTCCAAAAGCCAGTCAACTGCCGCAGGAAACATTGACAACGATTTTAGTTTGCCTCCAGAGTTGTGCGGCGAACGTTTCCCCTGAGTGTTCAGAGGCCATCATGACGATGGTCCAGAACTGCAGTCTGATGCTGCAGAAAGGGGCTATGAACAGGCCTCCACCGCCTGGTGTGGGAGTCCTTCGTCATCCAGCACTGGACCCCTTCAACCCCACGAAGTTGACGAATCCCTTGTTCTCGTCGAAACCGGTGGACACAATTGGGAATATAAGCTCTAGTCTGGCGTCAATGGGGATAGCCCCCTCGTCGTCGTCGTTCAATCTCCCTGGAGCTCTCGGGCCCCTCGTCTCAGCCCCAGGATCACCTTCGAGACTGATGGGGCCCTCTCCCAACCAATTCCCAATGCTTCCGATCTCATCTCAACTGCACTCAGGACCTGTGGGCACTCAGGGACCTGCTGTCCTCCCAGGGTCCTCCACCATTGGTGCTCTAGCTCGTCTGGTGCCACCCTCGGGCATCGAGAAGACCAGGGTCGCAGAGACTTCCAACCTATTCCCTGACATGGCGCAAAACGTGTCGAAGGAGATTGAGGATGAGGCCAACAGCTACTTCCAGAGGATCTACAATCATCCGCCGCATCCCACGTTGTCCATCGACGAGGTCCTCGACATGCTGAAGAAGTTCCAGGATGCTGGGACTAAGAGGGAACGAGAGGTCTTCAACTGCATGCTCAGGAATCTCTTTGAGGAGTACAGGTGAGGGGCAGTTTGCTGTTATTTCAGTAATGGTGGCCGAATTATTGGACAACCCTAGAGCAATAAAAGTTGTTCTAAAAATAGTGATAGTTGCTAAAGTATCGAAATATGGGCTGGAGAGTGTTGTTCATTAGGAATTATAGTTCCAGTGAAATTTCATGGAACTTCGTCATTGAAAATTCAGAATTTTGGGGAAAAATGAATCGAAACCGCAAAGTTCAGTTGAATTATTCCGCTATAAGTAGTAAAAATTAAGAAGATTGTGATAAATATGTTCTTTAATTTTATATCGATGGAAAAACTAGCGTCATTTAGTATTGAATATTCATGTTTTCATTGAATATTCCAGTAAGTTGGGGATTTCTCGTCTTTCTGCTGCTCAGAAATTTGTAATTCCGTTGAATTTTCTGTGAAACATGAAGTTTCATGATGGTTTCTACTTTAAGGATGTTCCACACCCTTTTAGCCAAAATTGACGTTGTTTTCATTTTTCTGGCAAATTATCGATGGGAGTGACGTGAAAAAATATAACGATTTTGTGGTTTGTCATTCTTTAATGGCTCACGAAGTTGCGTAGTGGAGCGATAATTTTCATGCGTTTTTTCTACAGTTTTGTGATTCTTTTTAAAAGTTTAGAGAAAACACAGGAAAATGTTCGCACCACCTTAAAATTTCGTCAGTCATTAAATAATGACAAAACGCAAAAACGTTATATTTTTTCACGTCAATCCCATCATAAGTTTGCCAGAAAAATTAATAAAACGTGAATTTTGGCAGAAAGGGTGTGGAACATCCTTAAATACCATTCAATATCACGCTCTTGAAAATGGCTAGTCATTTGTCCATGCAATTTCAATTTTTTTCCAATAGTAAATAATTTTTTTTAAGGCCCGGGTGTACTATCTTTTGAACGTTATCTCAATTTTTTTTTTCGTCTTTCATCTGAAACTGTCAATTAAGTCCTGCATCATGCAGAAGTTTTGAAAAATTATGAATGAATAATCAAAAAAAAAGTAGAAACAAATTTTAATTTTTTCAAAGAGCATTTTTAATTTATATTCAGAATAAGTTGAATAACAAGAAATTGAAAAATGTATCTGATTTATGGTGATAAATGGCGCCGGTCACCCAATGTCATGCCGGGGGAAGACTGATTTTGTAAATCTTTTCCCACACTGCACAGAGACATTCATTACGGAAAAGGCTCTTTGAAAAAAGTTGTAATATTTTGGAGAATTTTTTAATCACACTTTTATCACATAAAAATGGCAGATGACTACATACCACTGTTTTGAAAACTGAGATACCCAGCTGTCACTTCCCATGAGGAGTTAGTGTTTTGTTATCCAGCATGGAAAATAACAGCTAATAGATAATTTGCCACAGCGAATCACATATTTGTAATTTCTACTTTTTTCAACTCATTCTGAATCTCAATTAAAAACGCTCTTTGAAAAAGTACAGAATTTGTTCACATATTTGTAATTTCCACTTTTTTCAACTCATTCTGAATCTCAATTAAAAACGCTCTTTGAAAAAGTTTAGAACTTGTTCACATATTTGTAATTTCCACTTTTTTCAACTCATTCTGAATCTCAATTAAAAACGCTCTTTGAAAAAGTACAGAATTTTTTCACATATTTGTAATTTCCACTTTCTTCAACTCATTCTGAATCTCAATTAAAAACGCTCTTTGAAAAAGTTCAGAATTTTTTCAATTTTTTTGTTATCAATCTATCATAATTTTTGGGAATTTCTACATGATGTACCACTCAATTGTCAATTTTGGTTTACTGAAGATAAAAAAAATCCAGATAGCATTCGAAAGATAGTACACCCGAGCCTTAAACCTTGAAAATTGAATAATTTTTTTTACAGATTGAATTGAATTACACTCTGCAGAGAACATTGACTACTAGCATTCTATTAACCCATTCCTCAGACTGAGGAATGGTTTAATAATGATTGATAAACCCTAATTTGAACACTGAATAATATAATATTCTGAATTTGCTTATCCCTGTGCAGGTTCTTCCCCCAGTACCCTGACAAAGAGCTCCACATAACCGCCGAGTTATTCGGTGGGATAATCGAGCGCGGGCTGGTGAACAGCTACATGACCCTCGGCCTGGCGCTTCGCTTCGTCCTGGATGCCCTGAGAAAGCCCGAGGGCAGTAAAATGTATTATTTCGGCGTGGCTGCCCTGGACAGATTCAAAGGCCGCCTCAAGGAGTACCAAACCTACTGCGAGCACGTTAGAGCAATCCAGCACTTCACCGAGTTCCCAGATCACCTGATCGAGTACATAGAGTACGGTCTCCAGGGCCAGGAGCCCCCGCACAGGCCGCAGGGTGCAGTGCTCCCCAAGAATCTGGCTGCCATCCTGGCCCCAGCCACAACCACCTACAAGACAATTACAACGACAACAATAACGACTAGCACCACTCAAGTTAAATCCACAACAACAGCAACAACATCGCTATCAGCAAGACCATCGATAGCCAATGCCACGAACATAGACACTCTCCTCGTCGCCACTGACAAAGAGGAGAAGATAACGTCCCCTCCTGAGACCCTCCAGGACAAAACAGCCTTCATCTTCAATAATCTGAGTCAGTTGAATCTCCAGCAAAAGTGCGATGAGATCAAGGAGATCGTCACCGAGGAGTACTGGCCCTGGATGGCGCAGTATCTCGTGATGAAGAGAGCAAGCATAGAGTTGAACTTTCATGCACTTTACTCCAACTTTCTCGACTGTCTGAAAGCCCCAGAGATCAATAAAATGGTCACCAGGGAGACCTTCAGGAACATCAAGGTTCTGCTGAGGAGTGACAAGGGCATTGCCAACTTCTCCGATCGTTCCCTCCTGAAGAACCTGGGCCACTGGCTGGGGATGCTGACCCTAGGACGCAACAAACCAATTCTCCAAATTGACATTGACCTCAAGAGCCTCCTGGTCGAAGCTTACCACAAGGGCCAGCAGGAGCTCCTCTACGTCGTTCCATTTGTAGCCAAAGTCCTGGAGAGTTGCGCCAAAAGCCGAGTCTTTCGACCCCCCAATCCCTGGACGATGGCGATAATGAATGTTCTAGCAGAGCTCCACCAAGAGCCCGATCTCAAACTCAACTTGAAATTCGAGATCGAGGTTTTGTGCAAGAATTTGAGTATTGATGTTGCTGAGTTGAAGCCAGCGGTGTACCTGAAGGATCCGGAGAAGCTGAGGAACCTGGAGTACCAGTTGTCGCAGCCCAACAAGAAGGCAGAAGCTGCGTCGACTCAGCAGGCGCCCCAGACGGCCATGGAGGAGCTCGCGGGGACAACAGCCCCAGGTACTATTATCCCTCAGCCCCCTCAGCCCGCCAACACCACCCCATCGCTGCCCACAGGCCCCCCAGAGCCTCGATTCAACTACATGGACATCAGTGTCACCAGCATCTCCAACATAGCCCAGCACATAACGATCAACAATCAGCTGTCTCTCTTCCAGGCTCACCCTCACCTCAAGCAGTTCGTGAGGCCAGCGGTTGAACGGGCCATTCAGGAGTGGATTCACCCGGTGGTCGATCGCTCCATAAAGATTGCCCTCACCACTAGCGAACAAATTGTTCGCAAAGACTTTGCTCTTGACCCTGAAGAAGTCAGGATGCGATCCGCTGCGAGGCACATGGTGAGGAACTTGACAGCTGGAATGGCGATGATCACCTGCAGGGATCAGATACTGGCCTCCATCAGCACGAATCTGAAGAATGCTTTCCTCGCTGCTATGGTTGGATCAACACCACAGCAGAAGGAGGTCGCAGAGCAAGCAGCCAATGTCGTTGCAGCTGATAATATGGAGTTGGCTTGTGCCTTCGTCCAGAAGACAGCCATCGAGAAGGCCATGCCTGAGATGGATAAGAGGTTGCTGAATGAGATGGAGCTGAGGAAGATTGCCAGGCAGGAGGGGAGAAGGTACTTTGATCCTCTGGCGAAGTATCAGGCTGAGAGAATGCCTGAGCAGATCAGATTGAAGACTGGGGGAGTGACTCCTCAGCAGATGGCAGTCTACGAGGAGTTTGCGAGGAATATCCCAGGGTTTTTGCCACTATCGGAGAGGGACACTCAAGCTCTATTCATCCCTAAACCGATAGCAGAGCCAACTGTGCAGACTTCTTTTCCGACTAATCCTGGGGTTGCCATTGCCACTCCTCAGCAAGTGGCTGTTTATGCAGCTGTCAATAATGACGAGATTGGATCGATGCTCGAGAAACTCGCTGGGGAGGTCGAGATGCTGATTACTGCCATGGGACCTACAGCACCACCTCCGCAGCATGCAGCGCTGCACAGTCTTCTTGAGTCGATTATTCTGACGAGGAGGTCCAGGGACGCTGGGGCTGCGATGGCCCTGCTCAAGAAGGCCGTTGAGGGACTTCTGGATGGGCCCACTATCTCCAGTGGCGTCATCGATGCTGAGATCATTCTGAGGTATCGGGAGGTGCATCTCAGGATTCTCAAGTGTCTTCAGGATCCTAGGGCTTATGGCATGCAGTGGACCAACAAACATTCGACGAGGTGCTTGACTGAGTGCAGGGATGAGTTCAGATACAACTTCGAAGCTGTCGACTGCCTGATAAGATCCCACCTGGTGAGCTTCCCCCAATTCGACATTGCCCTCGCCCAAGCGATGGACGCAGGCAACGCCATGGCGACAGCCTTCGCAATGCAGCTGGTGCAGCTGTACCTAATCGACGAACGACAAACGACCCACGTAACCGAGTCCGACCTCTACAACACCATCGAGATCCTGGCGCGAATGACCCAGCACCGAGCCCCTCCCGACGGTATTTCCCTCTTCAGATTAACCAATCTGATCGAGTCCCTTCGAGCGAACCAGGACCCCGGAGTGCTGGCCGATCGTCCCCCAGCAGGGCCCACAGCCCACATTCACTCTGGCATTCACCAGGTGCGAGCCAGAGACTTCGACGATCCCCCAGGTCTCATGGAGAAGACCGAGTACCTCCTGAGGGAATGGGTCCAGATGCATCACAGTCCAACTCACGCTCGTGACCCCACCAAAGCCTTCGGCATCTTCGTCCACCAGATGAACATCCACGGAATCCTGAAGACAGACGACCTCATCACGAGATTCTTCAAACTCAGCACGCAGATGTGCGTGGACCTGTGTTATCGAGCACTTGCTGAGACCAACGCAGCCCCATCGGTGATCAGAGCCAAGTGCTTCCACACTCTTGACGCCTTCGTCCGTCTCGTTGCTCTTCTCGTCAAGCACTCAGGGGACACCACCAACACCCACACGAAGATAAACCTCCTGAACAAAGTACTGGGGATCGTGGCTGGGGTTCTCCTTCAGGACCACGAGTTGAGGGGAACTGACTTCCAACAGCTTCCATACCACAGAATCTTTATCATGCTGTTTCTGGAGCTTTGTGCACCTGAGCCTGTCCTCGAGGCAGTCAATTTCCAGGTGTTAACAGCCTACTGTCACACTCTCCACATCTTGAGGCCTGCCAAGGCGCCAGGGTTCTGCTACGCCTGGCTGGAGCTGGTCTCCCACAGGGTCTTCATCGGGAGAATGCTGGCGATAACCCCTCAGCAGAAGGGCTGGGGTCCCTACGCCCAGCTGCTCATCGATCTCTTCAAGTATCTTGCCCCCTACCTGAGGAATGCTGAGCTAGCTAAACCTGTGACTCTGCTTTACAAAGGGACTCTGAGAGTTCTTCTGGTGCTGCTGCACGATTTTCCGGAGTTCCTCTGCGATTATCATTATGGATTCTGCGATGTTATCCCTCCCAACTGCATTCAGATGAGGAACTTGATACTCAGCGCTTTCCCCAGGAACATGAGACTGCCTGATCCATTCACACCTAATTTGAAGGTGGATATGCTGCAGGAGATTGCTCATGCGCCCAGGGTGCTGACGAATTTTGCGTCTATGATTCAACCGCCGAGTTTTAAGAAGGAGTTGGACTCTTATCTGAAGGCCAGGGCTCCTGTCACCTTTCTGTCTGAGTTGAGGAGCAATTTGCAGGTGTCTCAGGAGCCTGGGATGAGGTACAATATTCTGTTGATGAATGCTCTTGTGCTGTATGTGGGGACTCAGGCCATTGCCTTCATCAGGAACAAGGGGCATACACCCAACATGTCGACCATTGCGCATTCTGCTCATATGGATATCTTCCAGAATCTTGCGGTCGATCTCGATACTGAGGGGAGGTATCTGTTTTTGAATGCCATTGCCAATCAGCTGAGGTATCCCAATAGCCATACGCATTACTTCAGCTGCACGCTGCTGTATCTTTTCGCCGAGGCCAATACTGAGGCTATTCAGGAGCAGATCACCAGGGTTCTGCTGGAGAGGCTCATTGTTAATAGACCACATCCTTGGGGACTGCTTATTACCTTTATTGAACTTATTAAGAATAGGAATTATAAGTTCTGGGATCATGAGTTCGTGCATTGCGCACCGGAAATTGAAAAGTAAGTTTTTATTAATTTTGTATTTAGTATTTTGAGTATTTTGGGTTTATCGATAGCCGAGTATTAAAAACAGCCCCCGAAGTTGTTTTGGATTTATGGATATTCAAGGATTTTAATTCTTTTGGGCCGGGTTTGGGTCAGCTGCGGTAAACATGGCCCAAAAGAATTTAAATAGTAGAAAATATGGGGTTGGGGACGTCTGTTTCATTTGAATGATATCCAAGTATTTTTTACAGCTTGGTATAGACTATACTGTGGATTCAGCCATTTTCAATTGTTGCAGTTGTTGATTAAATTGTGCGAGACAAATTTGAAAAAAAAAATCATGAAGGTTTAGTGGCATTCAAATTACATTTTGCACACGATTATGATTTTTTAAACATTTGTTGTTTATGAATAAATGATTAAAATTGTTAAAATTTTCGGACATCTTATTTTTTTAGGCATAAAATCGATTTCTGGTAAAATTCTGAATATGAAGAAATTTGTTACGATTCCGAACCAGTGATTTTTATGGTGGAAAATTGATTGTTTATAAATTATTTATACAAAATGCTCTGAATTTTCCAAAAGTGCAATTTTTTAATCATTTTTTCATCCTTCTTCCAAAAGTAAACTTTTCATTTTTTTCAGATTTTTAAAATGTTGAATAGCGGTTCAATATCGAGATTCACATTCAGACCTGCAGAGTTTAAATAATAAAATCATTGTAAAATGCCCGGAAACTTAGGGTCAAGTGGGGCTCAAATGAAAATTCTATTTCTAAGGTTTAGAATTTTTTTTTTGCAAATTTGGTAACTAATGAAGAAAAAGATTAACAATTGATAAATTAATAATCAAAAAATGTGTTTATAAAAAAGTTTCCAAAACAAAACCAATTGTTTTCAAAATGTCGAAGAAAACTCCGCAAAATGTCATGATGAAGTTCAATTGGTATATCATTGCACCACTTCACAACGGACCTAATAAGTCAATTAATTGTTAATGAATTCAGCCAAACTCATCGTCATTTTCATTTTTCAGACTATTTGAATCAGTGGCAAGATCCTGCATGGTGCAGAAACAAGTTCAGCCAACGCCAGAGCCAGAGATGCCCGAGTGATAAGACGTTTTGACATTAGTTATTTTCCACTTACACTTAACCAATTATTTTTCTTCATGTACAGCAAAAAATCGTACATAATTAATCACATGTAAAAAGAATTAATCATTAGGTGTATTATACTTTCTGGGGTTTTGAGATATATGTGAGATATATTTTTTCCTCCTATTATGATTTTTTTTTTCTGGTTCTATTTCTAAGAAATAATGAATCATAATACTACTGTTAGGTGAACACTAGGTGATTATAATGATAATGATTGATTAGATGATTAAGGTAATGATACAATTGATATGTTAATATTTTAATAAAAATGTCTCTGTAACTGTACAAAGGAGTCTGTAAAACTCGAAAGCATGGGATAATATTAATGCAGAGTAGTCGTAGAATCGTGTCCTTGGAGGGATTGTCGATGAATGAAGTTTGCAAATAACTGAGGGGCTTTTGTATTGCAAGTATATTTGAGTACAAAATATCACAAAATTCTAGTTGACAATACTCATCTCCACGAAGATTATTAATTACAGCGATGTATAAATAACAAAGACAATGGTGTTCAATAGAGTATACATTGATAGTTATAAAATATCATTATTTTTTTTCTTCTCTTACATTAGTTTCTGGAGGATATTCCATTACTGTATTTACTGGCAATAAACTGCACAATTTACTAAAATTCGTTGATGACAGATTCGTGATATAGAGGATGATTTTTTTCGAGGGGATTTTTTGTTTTATTCTTGGGGCAAAATGGAAACAGTTACACTTTGTGTAACTTAATGTCGATTATATAAAAATTGAGCTACAAATATTTGGGTAATTTGTACAGGAGTTAATTGTTTTGGGATTAAATGAGACGAATCGTTTGATCTGGATCGATACTATTTTTTTGTCTCCTCTTTCTTCGTCGAATAGTTTTATGCATCTAAACTGACTTTGTCTGTTGACTTTTGTGTCGGTTAGTCAATTAATGTAGAAGAGATGGAATGAAATGAGTGAATTCAGTTGAAAGTCTTGAGAAATATCTTGAACTTCGGGGAAGACGACTAGATGACTCAATTTTTCTGCAGATATCTACGAAAAAATATGAAAACTTTGGAGGACATCAACAGTTTATGATGAATATCTTGGAATTCAAGGGAAGTGTCCAAAATACTTCCCTTGAATTCAAAGATATTCGTCATAAACTTTTGATGAAGTTGTGTTCACTCATCCTATTTTCCTTCTTCATCACTGAATAAACGACGAGAAAACTTCATTGAAAACATTTTCAAACCGATGTGCTTCATAAATTCTCTCGAAATGAAGCTGTCAATAATATTCTGTCACTGTTTGAAAATGTTGTTTTGATACTTCAGAGATAGTCACCATAAACTTTTTATGAAGTTGAGCTTACTCATTTTATTTTCCTTTTTCATCAGCTAAACCTTCATCAGTTAATAAATGTCAAGAACATTTTAAAAATTTTCGAACTGATGTGCTTCATAAGTTCATTCATTCATCTCGAAATGAAGCTGTCAACAATATTCCGTCAATGTTTAAAAATGTTTCGTTGATTCTTAGTCTCCTGATTCCACCCAATACCTTTCAGTCATGCGTTCAAGTTATCTCGAGTGGCATGATAAGAGTCTCGTTCAGTATCTGGGAACTTGGTCGGTAGATTCGTGTTATGAAGATTGCACTTGGCATGGTACTTGATGCCAGCCACGTCGACTTCATAATCCCCAGAGAGAACATACTCGTTAGTCACCTCCTGAGTCCTCTCCCTCTCGTCCAAATTCTGAACAAACTCGAGGCAAACTTGTGTTTTGAAGCAGTCGTTCTTTATCATCACGATGTACTCCAGACATATTTACCATAAACTTTCCATGAAGTTGAGCTCACCCATTCCATTTTCCTTCTTCATCAGTGAATAGACGACTAGAAAACTTCACTGAAAATTTTTTTAAACCGATGTGCTTCATAAATTTTCTCGAAATGAAGCAGTCAACAATATTTCGTCAATGTTTAAAAATGTTTCGTTGATTCTTAGTCTCCTGATTCCACCCAATACCTTTCAGTCATGCGTTCAAGTTATCTCGAGTGGCATGATAAGAGTCTCGTTCAGTATCTGGGAACTTGGTCGGTAGATTCGTGTTATGAAGATTGCACTTGGCATGGTACTTGATGCCAGCCACGTCGACTTCATAATCCCCAGAGAGAACATACTCGTTAGTCACCTCCTGAGTCCTCTCCCTCTCGTCCAAATTCTGAACAAACTCGAGGCAAACTTGTGTTTTGAAGCAGTCGTTCTTTATCATCACGATGTACTCCAGACATATTTACCATAAACTTTCCATGAAGTTGAGCTCACCCATTCCATTTTCCTTCTTCATCAGTGAATAGACGACTAGAAAACTTCACTGAAAATTTTTTTAAACCGATGTGCTTCATAAATTTTCTCGAAATGAAGCAGTCAACAATATTTCGTCAATGTTTAAAAATGTTTCGTTGATTCTTAGTCTCCTGATTCCACCCAATACCTTTCAGTCATGCGTTCAAGTTATCTCGAGTGGCATGATAAGAGTCTCGTTCAGTGTCTGGGAACTTGGTCGGTAGATTCGGGCTATGAAGATTGCACTTGGCATGGTACTTGATGCCAGCCACGTCGACTTCATAATCCCCAGAGAGAACATACTCGTTGGTCACCTCCTGAGTCCTCCCCCTCTCGTCCAAATTCTGAACAAACCCGAGACAGACTTGTGTTTTGAAGGTGTACCCATACCCAGTGGTCGTCGTCATCCCGCAGTACTTCCCATTCCTGTAGATGGGCTCGCCCCCCCAGCACCAGGTGTCGAAGTCAGGGTCGTGGTCGTTCAGGAGGAGCTGCACGTATTTGCGGGTCACACCCTCTTCTCGCTGCCTGAGCAGTGCGTCGCGACCGATGAAATCAATGTCTTTATCGAATTTAACTCGCCAGGATCGCCCGCACTCCAAGGGAGTCGTGAAGGTGTCCAGATCCTGCCCCCAGAATGCGTAGAATTTCTCCACTCTCAGTCCTCGTGTCGCGTAGTAACCTGCGTGCTTTATTCCGTATTTAGCACCTGCCTCAACAAGTCTTGCGTATATGTGAAGAGCGAACTGCAAAGAATAAATTTAATGGTTTTTAATCATTTTAATTGCATTTGCCTGTTAAACTCGCTGTTTTTTTTTTTTGGAAAAATGTAAATTATGACATTCATCCGAAATTTCTACAGATTTTTTATAAGATCAGGTCGATTGTAAATGAATTATTCGAGAATTTTATGGATTCATTTTCCAATTTGTTAACAATAGGAATTGCTCCTTCAAACAATCAATTAATATAAATCAAATCATTCGTCAAATCTGAAATTTCCATCTTTTTGTGTGACGATGATTAATTTTGGTCTCAGGAGTTCGAATATGGTGTTTTTTGATCATGTCCGTATGTATGTATGTAATTTTTTTTTTCAAATTTAATTTTTCGACGATCATTTAAAAAATAATCGTGAAAATCTTTTTAATTATGGCTTAAAATACTTGTTTGGATGTTTAGATCTGGATGGAGTTCGAAGATAGTGGCGATCAGATCATTTGCTTTGCAATTATAGCCTTAGAAAGCATTTGATCAAGGTTTAATCGGAATTTAGTCGGAGGTTAATCAGGGTTTATCAGGGTTCACATCAGCGTTTTTTAGGTAAAAATCAATAGATTTTGATTTTTCTATATGAGTATTCTCTTGGAATTTTTTCTATAAGAATACTTAGGCATGAATTTTCCAAGTTTTTTCACTCAGATTCTACAATGAAACACACTATAGCGGAAAAACTTGGAAAATCTATGGAAATTAATGAAATTAATTTTCATAGAATTTCTAGAGAGTTTCAATGAAACTTTCTAGCGAATCCGCAAAGTTTTTCTATTTAATATTTTCATACGTGCTGGGGATATATCTTAAGGAGGTTCAATGCAGAAGCAAAAATGCTCTCACCTCATTCGGGATATAAAGAACATATCCCAGCTCCCCAGTGTGCGTCAAGTTCATCGTTCTGACCCCATTCGCCAGGCCAACATCGAGCTCCTTGAACGTGAAAAAGGGAAAGCTCTTGGGGCTCAAGTCATCATCAGTGAGTTCAGTGAGTAACGATCTCGTAGCTGGACCCATGATGCAGATCGCAGTGTACGCTGACGTCACATCCGAGAAGGCGACTGAGCCGTCAGCAGGCAGGTGTCGACTGATCCAGTGTTTGCAGCGAGTCTGCTGGATCGTTGGGGCAATCATCATGTAATGATTGTGGGATATCCTGGCCAAGCTGCAGTCGTTCTCGTATCCTCCCCGATGATTCTGCATTCCAGTGTGGATGATGCTCCCCACGGGCACGTCGACGTCGTTGGAGCAGAGGTACTGGAGGAGATTGACGACCTCGTCTCCATTGGACCACAGGTCAATCTTCGTGAAGGACGAGTAGTCACTGAGTCCAATGGTCTCTCTGCAGGCCGCGTACTCCTTCCCCACTGGGTCGAACCAGGGGGGTTTTCCAAATGTGTTGGTGTAGGCTATTTTGTAGGTCTGCAGGCCATCGAACGGATCCACGTCGTTCTCGTCCAGTTGAAACCAGGACGGCCTCTCGTAGCCCATCACCTGGACAGTTACATTTTTTGTTTTTTTTCTGTCTTTAAGGTCTTCCAAGTTTCATTTACAATTTCGTACAGAACACACAATGGATTCAATCAGTTTCAATCATCAAATTTATCTGAATTTTTCAGATAAATTACGTAGAAAAATTTGAAAAAAAATGAGCATTCAGAATTATTTTTTTAAACATTCGCTGTTCATAAATAAATGATTGAAATTGTTTAAAATTTCGGGAATCTTATTTTTTCAGGCATGCAATCGATTTCTGGTAAAATTCTGAATATGAATAAATTTGTTGCGATTCCGAACAAATGATTTTTGTGGGGGAAAATTGATTGTTTGTAAATTATTTATAGAAAGTGGTCGTAATTTTAGAAAATTCCACTTTTTCAATTGCGTCATCAATCTTTCTCCAAAATAGCCCCCACGAATTGTTCTGTAAGTAAACTTTGTGGAAAAATATTGAATTTTATCAATTTTTTCTATAGAATAATCCCCAATAAACATTTCTATTGAAAAAAAAATGCGCAGATAAGCTATAGAATTTTCAATAGAATCGGTCGAAAATTAATAATTGAAAGTTTAATAGAAATCTAAGGGAATTTCCCAGCAAATGAACTATTTTCCCTCAAATTTATTTAAGAAAAGAACTCATTTTCAAAATCGATCAGTTCCAACACATTTTGATTCTGTCGAATTCATGTCTTGATTCTCTTAGTTATCGTAGTTGTCTAGCTCCTTGTCACCCACCTGGCCGAAGACAGCACCTGCCTCCTTGAGCTTCGAGTAGATCGGTGACATCCGGAGATTCCTCCCTGTCTTGAACTCCATGTGTGGGTATTGCAAGGCGTAGTGAGTGCTGGGAACCTCTCTCACTCGGTCTCGAAGGAACTTTCGGTTATTGTGGAGCCCCAGAAAACGAGAGACGTCTATCTCGTACATGTCCAGGGATGTTGAGCCATTTATTATGAGTTCGGCGGTTGCACGACCTACACCGCCTGCTGCTGATACTCCTATCTGCAAGGGAAGAGGTTTAGAATTGAGTAATTAATGCATCTTTTTAGTAAATGTCGAACATTTTATCAACTACAAACTGCGAAACATGTTTGATAGAAAAATTCAATAGATTTTCATTTTTTCATAGAAATTATTGGACATAAATTTTCCCATCTTTTCCTCTATATTTTTTCATATTTTTATTCATTTTTCATGATAAAATCGAGGGAAGAGGATCGAAAAATTCATGCCTCAAAGTCCTTGGAGAACAATCCCATCAGAATGATTCATATAGGAAAATCAAGATCCATAAACATTTTACTATAAAAATAAAATATCTATTAAAAAATGCGGGGGGACGTTGTATAATTTTTAATAGAATTTTCGAAAAAGATAAATAGAATCTCTCAATTCTTATAGAGTTCCAATAGAAATTCAGTGGAATTTCTTGGAGGCAACACTAGGTTTTTTTATAAACTTTCTTCATGTGATTTTCACGAGTGATAATTCAACGTGATTTCATCGATTAAAAATGGACAATATTTCAGTATATGAAGTTGTATAGAAAAATCCAATCCTATTGACTTGATTGATTGGTTGATTGAGAACATATCAGTAGCAAAGTGATAAAACGGTTTGTCTCCCAGTTGAGTTTTTGAAGAATATTTCCGAATCTAAGGGAGATAGCGAAATTTTCGTGATTACATTTGTTGTAGCTCTCAATCAACTCTACAAAAAAGGTTCTAACAATAATTGGATTATCTCCCTTAGATTCCGAGATATTCATTGAAAACTGGTCAATAGTCAAAATTGACTTGTAGCGTTTTACAACTTCGTTACTGATATCATTATATTCTATAGAAAAAGATTCTATTGAATTATTCAATAGAATCGGCCAAAAACTAATTGAAATCCAATAAAATTGTCTATGAAATTCGTTAGGTTATTCTATTAAGTTTTTTCGTGCCTGGTAATATTTGAATGCCCCTTATGAGCAAATTCGATAAATAAATTGCATGGTTTGAAAGAATACCCACCGTCTTCATCCCAGCAGCGACATAATAATTCCTAATTTCCGGAGCCTCCCCAACGATCCACTTGCAATCCGGTGAAAAAGCCTCGGGACAATTGCACAGTCTCTCGAGCTGAACATCCCCCAGCGCTGGAACCCTGTGGAGAATCTGCTCCAAGAGCACGTGGAAGTGGTCCCAGTCCTCCGGCAAAACTCTCTCCGCAATGTTCTCGGGTATTTTCCCGTCCTCGAAGGCCGGTTTCGCCATTGGCTCGAAGCCTCCAGCGAGGATTCTCCCGTCGTTCTCACGGAAATACACGTAGCCGTCTACGTCACGAATTACTGGAGTCATCGGGTCCAGTCCAGGGACAGCTTTCGTGTGGAGGTAGTAGTGCTCTACTGGGTGCAACGGTACCTTGGTGAGAGAAGACGGGCATTCATTTCTTTGAATTAATTCAGAAGACGAAGGGGATGAGTCATTCCCTCGATTTTCAATCATCAATTTTGAAAAATGCATGGACTAGTCGTTTAAATAACGATTTGCAAAATATTATCATTTCTTGAAATAATCCTTTCTTAGGATTGCTATATATCAATAAAAAAAATCCTTTTTTATTTTTTGGCGTCATATCAATTTTTGATGAAATGCAGAATTTGAACAGATTTTTCTTGCGATGAAAAAATGATTCTTAAGATAAAAAATTGGTAGATAATAAGTTACATGAAATCAATCAATTTTTGATGAAACTCAGAATTTGAACAGATTTATTGCGAGTTCGGAACAATAAATCTTAGGATAAACAATTGTTTGTTACCATATAATTTTCAAAGAATGCAATTTTTTAATCATTTTATAAATCTCCCTTCAAGAGTATACTTTCCAAATTTTTCCCCTATTAAAATGTTTCCTGAGAGTTTAAAATGAAAAATTAAATTGAGATATTCGAAGTTTAAATAATAAAATTATTGAAAAATATCTGGGAATCTAGATCAAAGAAAACAAAAATAAGTATAAAATAAAAAATAGTTAATATTATCAATAATAATAATCAATTATTAATATTTTGTGGGCACACAAAATTGTGGATTCTTTATTTTCATTAGATTTTCGTAACGTTCACTTACTTTCACATGTGGTTCACTCAATTTTCCAACATTCCTCGCCCAAAACCCCGCGCAATTGACGAAATGTTCGCAGTTTACTCCGCCCCTCGACGTCTGCACCCCACGAACTTTCCCATCTTTGGCATCAACCCCAGTTATTCGACAGTTTTCGAATAATTGGACGCCTTGTCTCTGCGCTTCCTTGATCAACGTTAAACACGTTCGATAGGGATCTGCGACTCCATCGCCCGGGATCCAAATTCCGCCGACCAGATCGTCCACTTGAATTAGGGGGCACAAGTCCTTGGCTTCCTCGGGGGTCACTAGGTGACATTCTATGTCTCTGGATCTGTTGGAGAGGACAATGAATAATTCTGAAGCTTAAAGAAATAGTCAACTAGTTCTAGAGTTCAATTGAGTCGTTTAATTCACGCACGAAAAAAAATTCGAAAAAAAACTGGCGAATTTAGATAGAAAATTTGATTGAATTTTTACTGAGCTTCTATTAAAGTATTGCGCATTTTTTTCATAGAAAATATCCAATAAAAACTATTCTATAGAAAACAACCTATGAAATTTCATCTTTCGATACTTTTCCTATAGGAACTCCCGCACATTAATTTTATAAATTTTGTGCATCCCATTTTCTCTTCCGTTCGTTAAAAGAATGAACAAAAAACTGAATTTCAGCCAAGGAATTTCTATTGAAAATATCTGAATAAAATAAGTTCTATAGAAAAATCAAATTTTACTGATTTTTTCTGCAGATTATTCACTGTTGAACAAAGCGAGCAGATAAGCCGCCGAATTTTTCCATAGAATCACCCAAAAATTGATAGAAAGTTCAATAGAAAATTCAATCGAGTTTTTATTGAAAATATCCAATAGAAACTATTCGATACAAAAAAAAGTAGAATTTCATCTTTGTATACAACCGTAACTGCTGGAATTCCTTGACGTCAATTTTGGAAATGGAAAGAAAATAAAATAAAATAAAATAGTTGAAATGAATCAAATCCAATAAAAATAGGCAAAAGTTAATGGGAAATTCTATAAAAATCCAATAGAATTTTTATTCGGAATTTTGTTAGTTTTCGGTCGATTCTATTAAAGAATTCCGCAGTATCATTGGGTTTTTTAATAGAAAATGCCCAATAAAAGCTATAAAAGCTTTTTATACTTTTTCTGTAGAATATTTTTTATTAATCTTTTCTACAAAAAACGAGTAAACTGCAGATTGTTTCGATAAAATTATCCAAAAACTGATAGAAAATTCAATAGAAGTCCACTAGAATATTCTACAGAATTCGCCAGGTTCTATAAAAAAAATTCGTACGTGTGCCCTTACACAGACTGCGCCTTCATCCTCCTGAACGCCGTCATCCTGTCCCTCGTCCTGGCCAAGGACAGGCTTCCACACTGCTTCCAGCCAGTGGGAAGTCCCTTGCTCTCCAGCTCCTTATAAAGAGAAATACTGTCCTGGGTCAGTTTAACTTGTGCCAAGCTCGGTTTGAAGGCACCAACTAGCCCAGATGCATGCCAAGTCGTACCCTCGCCCATGCGTCCACTCTCCAGAATAATCGTGCGTGAACCCCATCCCATCACCGCCAGGTGATAAGCCACAGCTGCCCCCATGACCCCACCCCCACAAATCACCACTTGAGCATCTTCAGGGAGTGGAGGATCACTTGTTGATGCTATCGCTCTGCATTTTGCGGCGAATATGTGCCGAGGGGATTTGATAAATCCCCAGGACAGTGAGAGCTTCTCCAGGTGAACAGACCTCCACATTTTTATAATTTATTTCAGTATCTAAAAGGGAAAAATAAACTTGTGTTGGGTTAAATATTCAATGGAGATTAATTCGAATTGTTATTGCACAGGGAAAGTCTTTCAAACTCACCTTTGAGGTTATTCATTACGTGTATCGCATCAACAAGACGTCTTATCACATTTTTTGCGCTTGATTATTGTCATTCGGTGAAGTGGGGACTGAAAATCAGAGATGAATCGATGGGGAGAGAGTTTTTGGAAAATTCATTGAGAGAAAATGCGAGGGAATTGTATTTTCTGCACATACCGTACCGTTGTTATCGTTGGATCCATGTTATGGTCACGTGTCATGTTTACTGCCTTGTGCAGGTCAGGAATTATCGGGACTATGAGAACATATGAAAATTTTGAAGAAAACTTTTTTGTCGCTCTCATTTTTCTCTGGAAAAATTACGTCAGTTTTCTCTAGATTCTTTAATTTTTTTATTAATTTCGGAAGGACTGAACTTTGAAAAGAATTGAAGGGAAAATGTAGTTTTTTCTGTAAAAGCCGTCTATGGGGATTTTATTAACATTCTGTTTTATTTCATAAAAAAGAGTCGATGAATTATATTTTTTTAATGATTTCTAAAAGTTTTTTCCGCTGTTCTTTTTCTCTAAAAGTACTTGTAGGAGGATTTTATTAAAACAGTTTATTTGTTTTTTTATGCAAAAGGGTCAATAAATTTTAATTTTTTAAATAACATCTTGGGAATGAATTTCCTAAGTTTTGTCTTCTCATTAGATAATTCGTGACCTAGAATGCTTAAAAAAAAAATCCCAATGGAAAAAGTTGATATCCAAGAAGAAACATTTATTGCATTTTATCTATTTTGTAGAATAGAGAAATTAATAGATCAAAATTCTACCAAATTTCTATTGGAGTTTTATGAGAATTCCATTAAAAGTACCATTTATTATTTAATTTGATGCACTAATGTTGATAAATTTGAACTTTTCCTCATAAATTCTTGGGCATAAATTTCTCGTTATTTCCTGTTTATTAACAGGTTTGGAAAAATTATGCCCGAAAATTTTTACAGAAAAAAATCTCAATGAAATAATAAATTATCCAGGAAAATCAGCATCTATTAACTTTTTTATGATTGTAATATAAATTTCAATAGAATACAACAGAAACCGCTGCAGAACAAGAATTTCCATAAAATTTGAATAGAATCCCCATAGAACTCCAATCGTTACTCCAAGTGTTCTCATTTTGAATTGAATGCTAAATTAAAAATAAGTGAATGCTAAATTATTTACACATACTCGAAAATTTTATTTACTACATTCCATAAATCTGAAATAGTCAGTATAAATACATCTGCTTATGTTAACATATTATTCAAAGCAATTTGATTAAGCACATATAATGATCTGCGTAAATACAATGTGAAAATAGAGATCAAAACGATCGCTCAATAATTAAATTTCCCTAAGTTTTATCATTAAAGACGCTCACCCTCGAAAAAAAAGGAATAAAAAATATTTTCCCTGAATTTCTTGCTCTGAAACTGTACTTGGACGAGTCTTGTGGCAAAGGCACTGAGGTTCATCTCCCCTAATTAACTTTCCTGTTGTGACCATTGAGATTTTTCATTCTTGAAAAATTGGAATATACTATTATATCGATGATTAAAAGGCTCCTTTTTTAATCTCATCACCAATCTCCACCAATTTGAATATTTTTCGTTGTAAAACGTTCAAAAGTGCTCCAAAAGTCGTGATAAAACCATTGAATCATTTGAAATGTCATCGAAACGACGACCTCCGTCATAAATCGTGTTCAACAATTACTTTAAATGTGCCATTGAAATAACGCTCACTGCAATCGATTAGCTGTCAATAGAATTAATTTGTTCGTTAAATAGTCTCTTATTCGTTGAATTCGTATTTAAATTCTGTGCAAATTTAATTTGCAGTTGAGATTCTTGCTCGTGGGGACAGAATTGTTCTTGAGTTTTTAAGCTTGTAGATACTACAGTGGTAGTGTTCTTTCTTTGCTCTTGTGCTGCTTATTTCGTCAGGGCGTGTGGAATTACTCTATCTCGCGTGCTTTCCGAGATATGCCTTGCAGTTTGGACAGGTATGGTGGATGTCCATGCATTCGTCGATGCAACAGGGGATCAGACAGCATCCGAAGAAACATCTGGAAGATCGTTATCTCAAATGAACGTTAATGAGAAAAAAAATTCCAAAAAATTTACACAAAGATTTGGCGGAGAAGTGGTAATATAAGACGACTCAATGGGATTTAGACTAGATATCTCGATGAATATGCAGTAATCTAAGGAGATTTCGATATTTTTATCAGAATACTATTGTTTTACACAATAGACTAATTGAACTTTTTTGTAGCAATTAGTCTATTGTGTAAAACAGTCCGGAAATGAATAACTATTGGATTCTGGAATATTTATGAGAATCAGGGATAGCCATATCCATGAAATATAATTATTTTTAAATTTTTAAGTTGTCAATTAGTTGACATCACCTTTAAAATTTTTATTATTGAAATAATGATCAATTTAAATAGTCAAATTTTGAATTATTCATTAATCAGTAATTGAGTTAGGAAGATTGACGATTTTTTTTTTTAGATGATTATTTGGATAATTGGAAATCCCTTAAAATTTAGAAATTTGGAATTATCCACTTAATAGAAAATTTATAGTTCCATATTTTTAAATATTTAAATCATCATCGTTTGGAAATTTAGATTATCAATTAATTTACTATTTTTAAATTTCGATTAGTATATTCAAATTTTGATCAATGTAGGTCGGAAATCCTTTTAATATTGAAGAATCGCAAGACTAATGGCCATCCCTGATAAGACCGCGACGAAAAAAAATAATAGAAAAATCTAGGGAATTCGCTGGAAAATTCGATTGGATTTGCATTGAATTTCTATTTGAATGAATTTTTGAATGAACTTCTATTTCTTAAAAATTCTATCAGTCGTTTAGTGATGGTATTAAATAATTCCGCAGGTTAACTGTCCATTTTTTTAATAGAAACGTAATTAATAGAACGTAATTATAAAGAAAGAAATCTGATTTTTCTATTCGACTTTTTAAATAATTTGTAGAAAAAAATAAAATTCCATTGATTCTTCCTATAAAACGTTTTCCATTCAGCATTTCTATCTAAAAAAAAATAAAACTCCCAGAAGAGCTGTCGAATTTTTCAACAGAATCGATAAAAAAACTAATAGAATTTTCAATAGAAATGCAATAGAGTTTTAAATCCAATTCGTTAGCTTTTCTATGGAAAAGTTGAATCAAATAATTTATTAACAAAAAGAAACGTAGCAACAGGTTTAGATTGAGTAGGGAAATAAAATCAAAAAATTCCTGAAAAAAAATTATCTTCAAAGAAGCTATCCCATTTCTCCGCTTAATTAATTCCCATTAATTCAATCTCTCGAACAACACCCCTTGTAATAACAGAGAATTTGAAGACAGGATGATTACATACCCAAGTAATGCAATAACAGCACCAGAGATGTATGCAATCATCCCAGGCTCTGATTTAGTAGCTGTTTCAATCTCCACACGGCAGTGGGGACAGATGGTGTGGGTAGGTCCGGAGCCCAATGGCACTATTGTGGTGACTATCGCTGGTCCCTGAGCATCTGATCAAATGCAAAATCGTAATGCAATTATAAATTAATTCACTGAGAAATCAGTTCATGCGCTCGTTCTTTAGTTACGGCTGGAATTCTGAGAAAGAAAAAATGTGGATAATTACATGTTGGTGCTGGAGTGTATGGACTGGCGGGCGGGACACCTCCCACACTCTGAAAGTAGCTGGGTGGTGCTGTTGGTGGGGGCTGGTCATAGGAAGGTGGTGGTCCATTTTTGTTCATGGTGATGAGTTGACTGCAATGATAAATTCTCAATTTAGTGTTCAACATTATTTGCATTATTTTCCTCGTTATTTTTTATTTTCAATTCCCTCATTATTTTTTGTTCGATAAAAATTTATATTAATCGTTTTTAATAACACAGCATTGCCACGAGTCAGAGTCAAAGACAGAATGACTCTTCATGTGGGACCATGGACCACGCATGAAAAAATTTAATAGAAAAACCTATCGAATTCGTTAGAAAATTCGATTGAATTTCTATTAAACTTTCTATTAGTTTTTGGCTGATTTTATTGACATGTTCAATAGAAAAAGTCAACAGAATTCGATTTTTCTATATAACTTATTCTCTTCTTATATTTTCTATAGAATTTGCTCGACTCAAATTTCCGACTCATTTTTTGACTCAACGTTTTTTTCACTCTAATTTTCGTTTCTTCTCATCAAGAAAATCAAACGAAAAAACACCAACATCAACGTTTTAATCATTAATTAAATACCCAAATTCCGAATTATTTTATCAGTCAATAATTGAGTTCGGAGGATTGACGATTATTTGGCTAATTGAAAATCCCTTTTATAAAATTTAGAATTATTTGCTCAATAGTCAATCTACAATTCCATATTTCCAATTATTTAATTCATTGAATTGAAAATTTAACTCATCAATTATTTTTCAATTTTCAAATATTGATGAAAATATTACAAAAATTAATGATTTTTGAAAAAATGCCGATCCATGCATTCAATACAAACATTCTCATTATTGTGAGAATACACGTATGAAAAAATTCAATAGAAAAACTTCGCCAGGAAATTCTATTGGAATTCTATTAAAATTCCAGGGAATCTCATTAAAATTCTAAAATTCTGTTTTTTCCGTTGATTCTAAGATATAATTAATATGAAAAAGTCAATAGATGTCCACTTTTCTATACGAATATTGTCTTGGAATTTTTCCTACAAGAATACTTCGGCATGAATTTTCTAGCAATTCGCTAAGGTTTTCTATTGAATTTTTCATACGTGTAGAACGCTAACTTGTATTGTATTATATTCACAGATGACTGTCAACATCTGCGTAGAAACTTCCTAATTATCCCACTCTATTCCTCTCACTGCTCCATTATCATTAAAAAAACATGACAAGAATAAGACTCATGAAGGAGTAAATCAGCTCCCTCAGTAAAGACGGTCTCCCCCAAAATTTTGCTAAAATCTCGATAGAATCTATAATTATCACCTCAGTCCACAAACGGAAATCCCGAAAAAATAGGAATCTCATCTCATCTGCTCTCACCAAAACATTTAATTCGCCCCGATCGAAACTAAAAGACAATCCCCCGTATAATAAACACATTAACATTTGACTAAACTCCTAGCAAGGATCTCCGAACGCGTAATGCCCATAAAAAACCAGGGCCAACATTTTTTGCACCTAACAACTAGTTAATTGTTTTGCATTCTAGGTGAAAAGTGACGTGATTTCCGTAAATACCCACGACCCAATTACGAAATAAAAATGCCATATGAATGAGTCTCCCTCCTGGGAATTGCCATGGGAACTAGAAAGAACTTGGACAATAAATTTGACTGGCGTGATCGTTTATTTATAGTAGTAAACACAGAATTATCGACTTCGCCCGACTATACGCAACAGTCGAGGGCTCACCTGGTGTATTTTCGGGGTCGATATGTCCACTGATAGCTCGAACAGTCGTCACTCGGGTGCAAATTTTTGGAGATGCTGGCCAGTGACGCGAGAGTGATAGTATCCGCATGCGATGTCTCACAAAAATACACAAAACTTGGTGCAACTTGGTGTTCCGTTGCGCTTAGACTCCGCATGGGGCACCCGTCAAGGAAAATCGGCCCTAATCGCACGTTCGGGTGGGCTCGGAGAGGTTCGGGTGACGCGGGAAAAGTGAGAGTTGTTTAGGAATGCGATTGCCACGCAGTCTTCCCATTTCTCTCGGCTACGGGCTCTTGGCTCGTAGAGCAAAACGAGCGAAAATCAATGGTCACTTCGTTTTTTCAACATTTTTCGAAAACTAGAGGAGTGAGGGGCCTCAATCTAATTGCATTTAGTTGCTGAGGAAGTTTGCGATCTTTTCAGGTACTTGGTAATGCTCAGAGGTCGATTTTTAGGGCAAATCCACGTTAATTATTAAACCGTGGCTCAATTAATTTACCATCAATTTTTGTTTTTTAGAGATTTCTGAGGAACTGAAGGAACTAGTCTCCGGAATCTAATTGCATTTAGTTGCTGAGGAAGTTTACGATCTTTTCAGGTACTTAGTAATGCTCAGAGGTCGATTTTTAGGGCAAATCCACGTTAATTATTAAACCGTGGCTCAATTAATTTACCATCAATTTTTGTTTTTTAGAGATTTCCGAGGAACTGAAGGAGCTAGTCTCCGGAATCCAATTGCATTTAGTTGCTGAGGAAGTTTACGATCTTTTCAGGTACTTAGTAATGCTCAGAGGTCGATTTTTAGGGCAAATCCACGTTAATTATTAAACCGTGGGTCAATTAATTTACTGTCAATTTTTGTTTTTTAGAGATTTCTGAGGAGCTGAAGGAGCTAGTCTCCGAAATCCAATTGCATTTAGTTGCTGAGGAAGTTTACGATCTTTTCAGGTACTTAGTAATGCCCAGAGGTCGATTTTTAGGGAAAATCCACGTTAATTATTAAACCGTGGCTCAATTAATTTACCATCAATTTTTGTTTTTTAGAGATTTCTGAGAAACTGAAGGAACTAGTCGCCTGAATCCAATTGCAATCAATTTCTGAGGAAATTTACTATTGTTTCAGGTACTTAGTAATGCTCAGAGGTCAATTTTTAACTAAAATCCATATTAATTATTAGCTCAATTAATTTATCAACAATTTTGGTTTTTTGGAGATTTCTGAGAAGCTGGAGGAGCTAATCTCTTGAATCCAATTACATTGAATTTCTAAGAAAATTTACTATCGTTTTAGATACTTAATACTGCTCAGTGGTCGATTTTTAACTAAAATCTACATTAATTATTCACTTTACATTAATCATTAATTCCTTATTAATTTTCGTCCCAACAATGATTGGGAAGCGATTTAGTATTCGGAAAACATTTTTTTTAATACACTTGTTTCATCAATTCACGACAGAAATTATTGTTAACCATCATTTGTAGTTAGAAAATTTGTCCGTCACATGAACGTGACAGAACCGTAATTTCTGGTCATATGGCCCGATCTCAAAAATGACAGTCATTCTGCACCTCTACCTGTAAAGAAGTCATGGTGATTACATTCTGTTGTTTTTGAATTTTCCGTTCCATTCTCCCATTACCCGCCACCCACCAGATGGCAGCGCACATTATTTTTTGTATACATACCCGTAAACATAGTCCAGCTGGAGCCAGTTCCCGTCTACTTTATCGTATTTGTTGTATTAAATGTAGTGACATGATGTGTTGAATATCTACACTCTGCTCTATTGACCATAATTTTCACGAAACACAAGGTAAGACTCGAAAAATTCTCGAATCAAAGTACTTTCCGATGGCTAACCTGTCGCGAAACGATCCCGCCACTTTCTTGTCAATTGCGAGTGGGGCAAATGCATAATTTTGAGATTTTTCTTGAAATGTTAATGATTCATTCAATTCCAAGTGAAAGGAGAAGATTTTTTTCACACGAACAGTACGATTTTTTTCCTCTGTAATGAACCTAAACTGACCAAATTGATGAATTTACGTTAGTAAGTTATGTTCTATGTTTGTAGGGCTGCCCAATTTATAGGTTTTTTAGGCCGTGTCCCTTTTAATCAGATCCGATCAATTAGCCCCTCATGTATAGATATTCCAAATTTTTATTTTTTTCCTCATTGAAGTAGTTTTGAAGAAAATTGCGAGCTAATAAAAAACATTTGCTAGTTAGTACTTTTTTTAGAATAAATTTTTGGAAAATCACCTCTGAAAAAAAAGGCGTTATCCCCTCTATTTCATTATTTCCAAAAAATTTTATCACCAATCGATAGCAAATTGTTTGAAGATTTTTGGGAGTTAAGAAAAAATCGGCAATGCAATCCTATTATTGTGTAAATTAACAATTCCAATTTCAACTGAAAACCAGAGTTGATGACCAGAGTTTGTAACAGAGATGTCAGACAAGATATGAATGTTTTTTT